CATTAGCACTTGGGCTTGGACTTGAATTGCAAATGTGATTTTTGTTGTTCATATTAAAAGAGCTATACCAGATGCTTGGAAAACATTAGGGTTTTGCCAGCTACTGAACAGAAATGTTATCATCTACCTGTTCATGTTTTGAAGATCCAGGAAGCATTTTATCTCAGTTGAAGTTTGTGTATCTCGGTATCATGAATTGTAAAAAATCATCAAGCTAAGCCTTCGTAGACACTAACTGGGTACCAGGTGTGAAGTTAAGTGCTTTCTATATTATTTCATTTCAGTTCATCCTCACAGTAATCCTGTGAGCTATATATTCTTAACCCACTTTGCACGTAAGGAAACTAAAGCTCAGGAGAGGTTAAATAAGATTCCCAGGATTCATTCATTCAACAGGTGTTTGTTGAATGTCTGCTCTGAGCTGCTGTAGACTCAGTAGTGAGCAAAACAGAAAAGCTCTGCCTTCATGTGGCACTTTTTAACATTTATTTATTTATTTATTCTAAACTCAGGGTGAGGGAGAGACAAAGGAGAAAGGTCTTCTTCCATCCACCGAATGACTTCCCAAATGGCCACAACAGCCAAGACTGGGTCAGACCAAACTGGGAACTAGGAATCCCATCTGGGTCTCTGACTTGGGTGGCAGGGGCCCAAGTACTTAGGCCATCTTCCGCTACCTTCCCAGGAACATTGGCAGGAAACTGGATAGAAACAGAGCAGTCAGGACTCAAACCAGCACCCCCATAAGGTCGACTTAGTCCCCATGTAACCTACTTTCTAATGGCTGGTATCAGAGCCAACATTTGTTAGCTACCAGGCCACATTACATGTATTAAGCTTTAGATAGGGGATCCTGGGTCTGAACCCAGGCATTCTAACACCAGAGCCTGTGCTTCTGCAGTGTTTCACCCTACTGCTTTACCCAATGAAGACCACTCCCCCGGTGAGAGGTATGGCACGGGGTGCACAGCCACACCTGTCTGTCTCCATGGCCTCTGCCACCAGTGTTATTCAGAGGAACAAATGGAGCATTTTTATTTTACTATCCTGCCCCACACAGTACACGAATCCAGGACAGAAGTATGGGCCTGCGCTTTCTCAGTTGAAGTTGGGTTTATTTTTATGACAAGTGTGTATTTCTCTTTTCTCATCTCAAATAGATTTTTTTTTTTTAAGGAATAAACTAAGAGGACAAAAACCTGGGGAAGATGAGTAAGGAATAGAAAATAAATACAAATTAGCTATTTGGCTAATTGTTTTATAACCACAACAGAGTGCAGAGAGCGCCCTGGGCAAAACACGATAAAGTTTCAAAGACTGAGGTGTTCCCTTAAAAGGCAGAAGAGTCTGTCTCTGAGGTCTGGAATGTAGGCTGCCTTCCGAGTTTTTGGGTGGATCACTGGGTTTGTGGCAGAATCGTGCTTTTAAGCAGATTTGTACTGAATAATGGCCACTGCATCCACGCAGAAGTGGATGACGTGTTTGGTGTCATGTGTCACGTAACTGCCGAAGTCCCTCCCCACAATGCAGTGCCGTTGATGTGGGCTGTAAAGGCCTTTTCTCTGTTATGTTTCCGTAACCTCTGAGTAGTACGCTCCACTGAGTCTTGTTGCATCTCCTCCCACACGTCCTTGTGTTCCCACGCAGTGACCATGCAGCAGGGGCTGGCCCACTGGACTGGTCTCACGGAGGAGGGAGAGACAGCATCATTTTTTTTTGTTTTTTGCTTTTTTTGTTTGTTTTTTCCCAAAGGTTATCACTGTGTCTGGAAGTGCCCGGGGCCCCAAGCCTCATTTCCTTTAGGCCCTTCGTGAAGCCTGATGTTTGAGTTTGCCGCTGTGCTTGGAGCTGTGTTCAAGTGATCAGAGCGGCTTTCCTGGTTTGTTCAATAAATAAGGTCACTTCCTAGCAATGTCTGCATACTAGGAGGGACGGAACCTGTATTTTCTTTGAAGTCAAATCCTACTGTGTCTGGTTCAGGGCCTTGTTTTCAGCCGACGGGGACACCTGCCAGGGCACTGCGGACAGGGTTTGGCGATCAGGAATGAAACATTTAGGAACAAAGGTTAGACTCAAGGGCCATTGCTGTTCTTTTTCTTTTAACAATCGACTTCTCCATGAGAAGGCACTTGGCAGTTAAATGACACCTCCAAAATTCACCACGTCATCTCCAAACGGGGGCTCCTCTTGAGCCTTGGCAGTTCCACTCGGGGTGGCTGAAGTGCTGGGGCCAGAGGGACTCCCAGCCCTGTCTCCCACTGGTTCTGCGGTGCCTAGCGCCTTGCAAGAACAGGAGAGTCCAAGCAGAAAGACTGCTCTGCCTTCTCCCTTCCAGCCTGTATCTGTCTGCCTTCTGCCCTTTTCTCTCTGAAGCTGCTGACACCTTTTCTAGCCCAGACTAGTGTCCCAATGTCACTCCACACGCTTTCCCCAGTGCTAACCAGAGCCATGTGCATGACCCTTTCTAACAGAAAGGAGGGAGGCAGAGAGGCAAGTTGGGTTTGTAGTTACTAAATACATAGAGTTAGCAAGACTTTTCTTAATTGAGCTACTTAAATGTATCTATTTAAGGTGGTTTTTTTTAAGATTTATTTATTTATTTGAAAGGCGGCGGTGGGGGGGGGGGGTGTCTCCATCCACTAGTTCACTCCCCAGATGGCCACAATAGCCAGAGCTGTGCCGATCTGAAACCAGGAGCCAGGAGCTTCTTCTGGGTCTCCCCGACAGGTGCAGGGGCCCAAGGATTTGAGTCATCTTTTACTGCTTTCCCAGTCCATAGCAGAGAGCTGGATTGGAAGTAGAGCAGCTGATACTCGAACCAGAGCCCATATGGGATGCCGCTTTACCCACTATGCCACGGTGCTGGCCCTCATTTAAATGCTTATAACACTCCAAGGTAAGGGCTCTTTCACACCCATTACAGGGAGTGTTGAATGGCCAAATCAGGCCCTCTTCCTGGCCAATGGGGCTGCCTTGCCCTGATTCAAACCCATCTCTCTCAGCCTCTGTGCATTTGGCAATAGAATTATTCATTCACCTTGCAGTTATTGCCCAGCCACGGCTATCACCACCCCACTGGGTGCAGCCTGCGGATGCCAAGTAGGCAAATCACGAAGACTGCTGATGTAGTTGGGTGGGGAGGGACTACGAGAGAAGACAACCTAGAGTAAGTGAAATCTGAGAACCGAAATGAAAAATAAGCAGCTACTAACCAGAGACCAAGGACAGGCAGGGGAAGAGAAGTATGTTGAAAGACACAGCTTGTCCGAAGCTTGACATGTGAGAAAGTGGAAGAGTTTCAGGAGAGATGCTAGAAAGTGTACCATGCAGGAGGCAGTGGAGGGCGATGCTGAGGACAGAGGCAATACGATGAGCAGGAGCCAGTGATGCGGGCAGGAGCCAAGATGGATTTTAAGCTGAAATTAGTGGGAGGCAGCGTTTGGCAATTAACAGGAAGGGCAATAGAGTGTTGGAAAAGGTGGAAATACAGGCAAAAGATTGAGAATAAAACAGCAAATAAAGCAGTAGATGAAAGAGTGAGTGGAATACTCCATGGAGGCGAGGCCCGCAGACCAATGGAGAGACTGCTGCTACAATCCAGCGAGAGGTTACGGTGCGCTGGCCTAGGGGAGCGACAGGGTGGAGTCACAGGAAGGGATATCGTGGAAGCAGAATCCACAGGACTTGGGGAACGATGGGAACGGGGGGATTCTGGAGAAGTGTTCTGGGTTCTGACTTGGGCAACCCGACAGATACCGAGAGGAAGAATATTGGTGAGGATCATGTTTGGGTAACAAAAGCGGATAGGCTGTTTTAGCTGTCCATCAACTAGCAGAGGGGAGGATGCTGAAGTTGGTGGAGCTCATCAGAGGAGTTGCACCAGGTCTACTGTTTGGGAGTCACCAGCCTAGAGAAAGCAACTGAAGCTGTTGTAAATGGAGGAGATCAACTCGACACATATAGAGAGTAAGCAGAAGGAAAGACATCTTCAGACAAAAATGCTAAAGGATCCCCATCATTTAGGAGAAAGAACTTGAGAAAGAGTGGGTGGACAGGAAGCATATGCAGAGAGTGTGGTACCATGGAAACTTGCCTGTGGCAGAGAGGACTACTGTTTCATACTGTTCCGCAAGGTGAAGTAAAGTGGGAACCCAAAGGAAGCTTGGGACTGAGTCAAACCTTAATCTTCAGTTCCCATGCATTCTAGTAAATGCATTCAATCCCGTATTCTTAGAGGTTCTTTAGTGTCCTTAAAATATTACAGATTTCATTCCTTGTTCTCAATTAAGAGGCACCAAGAATTCAGGACAGGTAGTAATATCTTTTTCAGTTGTGACACATTTTGGTCCATGTTTCAAGTCAACTGGAAAATGACAACAGGTGATACCTCCCTATCTTTTGTTTCCCACCCTCCGATCCTCAGTGTGCTTTCTCTCTGTCCTGTGAGCTCTGCTTTTAGATAAAGTCTTCTATAGAATTTGAGCTGCAAGTTGCCCAAGTTTGAAATGAGAAGTATTGTTTCTTTCTTATGTGTTTAAACCACTTAAAAGTTGATTCAGGATGTGGTGTTGTGGTGCTGTGGGTTAAGCTGCCACTTGCGACACTGGCATCTCATAGAGCAAGGCCAGTTCAAGTCCCGTCTGCTTGGCTTCCTCTCCAGCTTTCTGCTAATGTGCAGGGGAAAGCAGCAGAGGCCACCCATGTGGGAGACCTGCATGGAGTTCCTGGGTCCTGGCTTTGGCCTGGCCCAGTCCTGCCCATTGCAACCTTTGGAGAGTGAACCAGCAAATGGAAGATCTCTGCCCCTCTCTCTCTCTTTCTCTCCCCTTCTCTCCTTCCCTCCCTCCTTCCCCCCTTCTCTCTCTCTATATATAATTCTACCTTCGAAATAAATAAATAAATCTTAAAAACATCTTGGTTCATAGCAATGCTTATGATGATGTGAAAGAGTAAAATATGGCTTGGAGGTTTAATCTTCCTCTTTCCTCTTTCTTTTTCAGCTACAAGAGACTGTGAAAAGGAAGTTGGAAGGAGCCCGATCACCACTCAATGGAGACCAGCAGAATGGTGCTTGCGATGGGAGTTTTTCTCCAACCAGCAAGCGAATCCGAAAGGACGTTCCAGCAGGGATGGAAGCCATCAGCAACTTGCCCAACAACATGCCACTGCCTTCAGCTTCTCCTCTTCACCAACTTGACCTGAAGCCTTCTTTGCCTTTGCCCAACAGTGGAACGCACCCTCCCGGGCTCCTGGAAGATCTGAGCAAGAACGGGATGCTGCCCGAGATGAAGCTTCCTGTCAATGGCTGCAGTGACCTGGAGGAGAGCTTCGCCGTCTTGCAGAGCAAAGACCTCAAACAAGAACCTCTAGATGACCCCACCTGCATAGACACATCAGAAACATCTCTGTCCAATCAGAACAAGCTGTTCTCAGACATTAACCTGAATGATCAGGAGTGGCAAGAGTTAATCGATGAACTGGCCAACACGGTTCCTGAAGACGACATACAGGACCTGTTCAATGAAGACTTTGAGGAGAAGAAGGAGCCAGAGTTCTCGCAGCCAGCCACGGAGACCCCTCTCTCCCAGGAGAGTGCAAGCGTGAAGAGCGACCCCTCTCACTCTCCTTTTGCACACGTCTCCATGGGCTCTCCCCAGGCCAGGCCTTCTTCCTCTGGTCCTCCCTTCTCCTCTGTCACCACGGCCCCCAACCTACCTTCTGTTGCTAGCACTCCTGCAGCTCCAAACCCTGCCAGCTCACCCGCAAACTGTGCTGTCCAGTCCCCTCAAACTCCAAACCAAGCCCACACTCCTGGCCAGGCTGCCCCCAGGCCTGGAAATGGTTATCTCCTTAATCCTGCAGCAGTGACAGTGGCCAGTTCAGGCCCAGTGGCTGTGCCCAGCTCCGACATGTCCCCAGCAGAGCAGCTCAAACAGATGGCGGCGCAGCAGCAACAGAGGGCCAAACTCATGCAACAGAAGCAGCAGCAGCAGCAGCAGCAGCAGCAACAGCAGCAGCAGCAGCAGCAACACTCAAATCAGAGTTGGTCTCCCCTAGGGCCTCCATCCAGTCCATATGGAGCAGCTTTTACTGCAGAAAAACCAAATAGCCCAATGATGTACCCCCAAGCCTTTAACAACCAAAACCCTATAGTGCCTCCCATGGCAAACAACCTGCAGAAGACAACACTGAATAACTACCTCCCTCCAAATCACATGAATATGATCAATCAGCAGCCAAATAACTTGGGTACAAACTCCTTAAACAAACAGCACAATATTCTGACTTATGGCAACACTAAGCCGCTGACCCATTTTAATGCAGACTTGAGTCAGAGGATGACCCCGCCGATGGCCAACCCCAACAAAAACCCCTTGATGCCATACATGCAGCAGCAGCAACAGCAGCAGCAGCAGCAGCCGCCACCGCCGTCCCAGCAGCCAGCGCCACCACAGCTGCAGGCTCCCAGGGCGCACCTGAGCGAGGAGCAGAAACGCATGCTTCTCATGAAGCAGAAAGGGGTGATGAACCAGCCCATGGCTTACGCTGCACTTCCATCCCACGGTCAGGTAAGTGTGAAAGTGAGACGCGCTCGGAGGGGCTGGTGGTGCGTCGCACACTGGCTCTGCCTGATGCGCTCGCTGCAGCTGGAGTGGGATCTAATTAGCTGTGGAGGTCCTCCCTGCACATCCTCAGGTACTTGCTAGCTTTGCGTCATTTTTTTTTCCTTTCTTCTGAGACATGAAAAACTGTGAATGACTGCCCAGGAAACAAGCTTCTATTATTCTTTGCCAAATACTGTATAAAATTCTCACTGTGCAGGATCAATATGGCGCCACCCTGAGCTGCTTGCTCTCTGAGGTCGTCCTAGGGTCTTAGGATTGGGGTGGTAGGAAGGCAAGGACGGTCGGAGCTAACCACGATGGTTTTACAAGGCCCCGAGCAACCTTCAGCTATCTTAATGAATTATGGATAGTGGAATTATTCCTGCTGTTCACATGTGGGCTTGTTTTCTGTATCGTCAGAGGATAGGTTTTGGTGGGACTACTCAATGTTAAACAGTTATTGCTGGACAGGCCACAGTTGGAAGCTGTTTCAGTTGCATTATTTGGGGGCAGAGTGGAACCTGGTCAATTCGTTTGCCTCTGTTTCAGGAGTATTTCGTGGTGAGTATATCATAGTGCTGGATTAAAATAAAGTCTCCTTTGTTCTGTGGTCTTCCCTCATGATGTCTTGGCGTGGAGTGTGAGGGCTGGGCTGTTAGTGATGCTTCATAAAAAAAATGAGTGGTATCGGTTGGAGGGTGGATAGCCATTGTCTAACGGTTCGCTGTCCTCGTCCTGACTGGGGGCTAGCAGTCAGAGCTCCCCTAACACTATCCACCCTGGAGGACAGAAGTAGAGAGGAGCAGCTTGTGGTGACACGCATGGATGAAGTCAGGAGTGACCCCGCTACTGCCGGTTGCTATTCTGTGCTTGTGGATGCCGGCATGGGTATTCTGGATGGAGATTTTGCAGAAGTCTTTGCTGTGGAGCCTGCCGAGTTTAAAACTGGTGGCTGGATGTTTGTCTAGCATTGGATGCATTGGCTGCACCGGGAGGCAATGTAGGCAGCTCTTGCCCTGCTTGGTGGTTGTTTGCGTCTTGTATCTCCTGGAGTGCTGCACCCTGCCCTACCCTCACGCCTCTACCCCCCAGGCTTGATGGATACTGGAGGGCTGCAGGTGGTGCCGGCCTGCGGAGACAGGCCTTAGTTCTGTGGCTTCATTCTTGGCCCTCACAGCCTTCCAACCCCCAAAACCTCACAGTGGCTTCTTGTCTGCACGTGGCAACCATCTCTAAGGAAATTCTGTCTGCATAAATAAAGGTGTAGGTTGGTTTACATGAACGGCAATCAGTAGCTGGTATGAAAACATCATTGAAATGTGAACTTCTATGTTTTATCTATTTTCATTTAAATTTATCCATGTTATAGTTATACATGCATATATATATAAATATGAAAAACCAGTGTATTGTTCACTTCATGATGAAGTCTTGAAGCAGGGAAAAACAACAGCAATACACAGGGATGTTTGTGGTAGCCCAGATGCATCAGGCAAGCTACCAGAAAGGTCTCTTGTTGATACAAATTGTGTTTCTACATTCGCTGCTTTCATGCCAGTTACAGTAAAGGATTCCTCTGAGCCAGACTGAAGGAGCTTAATTCCAGCTCACAGGCTCTGCAGACATGTGGGCGCAGTGATGCACCCCACCAAAACCCCAGCTCCTGACACACGCGCTACACGCCTTTCAAAATGTGCTAATGGGGACAAAGTTCCCATCTTGGGTGGAACATGACTTTCAAAGGTACTCATTATTTCGGGTCCTTCTGCTTGCCTAACTAAGCATGTGTCATTGAAGCTTTTCACTGCAGCAGTCCTGTTTTGCAAGGGCCCATTCAGGTAAAGAAGCAAAAGTGCTGGTTTTCTGGATTAAATCTAGATATTCTTCCCCTTTCTTCTCATGGAGAATTTTGAGGGTAGATAGAATCTTCCTTTTGGGGGCCTTGTTAGAATAATTGCTTCTTTAAAAAAAGATTTATTTTATTTATTTGAAAGAGTTATAAAGAGAGGTAGAGACAGAGAGAAAGAGAGAATCTTTCTCTGGCTGGTTCAGTCCCCAAATGGCCACAACAGCTGGAGCTAGTCCTATCTGAAGCCAGGAGCAAGGAGCTTCCTCCGTGTCTCCCATGTGGGTACAGGGGCCCAAGCACTTGGGCCATCCTCTGCTGCTTTCTCAGGCACATTAGCAGGGAGTTGGATTGGAAGTGGAGCAGCCCGGGCTTGAACCAGCACCCATATGGGATGCCGGAGCTGTAGGCCGGGGCTATAACCCACTTCACCACAGCGCCGACCCCAGAATAATAGCTTCTTAACTTCATCAATACCTTTAGGTAAAAGCGTCATTTTAAATGAAATATTAACTCACCGCTGTTTGAAACAAGCTTAAAAACACATACATAAACATGTGAATATGTTTCTGCAAACATGCCATTTATTCCATGTTTTTATCTGATGGTGGAGCAGTATTTACATAGCCTCTGCATAGTTAATTACACTCCATGCAGGTACATTGCACAAATACTAGCATGAACTACAGGTGAGATATGAAATATAATTATTCATGGGTGTTGAATTTTGTTTTCTGCTGTTGCTGGTGAAAATTCACTTCATTTTTTGTTGGTTACAAGGATCTTGGTCAATGTTCAGGTTTAATGAATGATCTGAGCACAAAAGCCAATAGTAAGAAAATATTGGACACATTTATTTGAAGAAAATTAACTCTCATAGATGTTTACTTGTTTGAGACACTTGTGGAAAATACCATTTCTCAAGGAAATGAATTGAAATGTACCCGCTTTCTGGCTATCCAAAATGACACAATACAAATTCTTTTCAAAATGTTGAATGTTTTATCTAGTTATTCCACTTCTCAGAATTTACATATTATTTCTTAAAATCAGAGGGTTGTACAAAATTATGATCATATTGTTACTTATGATGGTGAAAAATCAGAACCAAAACAAGTATTTTAGAAGCATAAATAATGTATAAATCTTAATATGAAAGAATGATTAATCATATGAAAATGCTCATTATAGGGTAAAATAAGCAGATCATAAGTGTTACCAAATTGTGTTTTCCAATATGTGTAGACAAATATTGAGTAAGTGAAATGTTAGGAACAGTATTTCTGATTGGAAAAGAAATGAGTGATTATTATTTCCCTCTTTATCTCTTACTGGATTTTCTAAATTTCCTATCATAGTTGTGTTAATTCTACCATCTGGAAACATACATTTTTAAGGAAAGGAAGCTGCCTATTTAAAAAAAAAAAAAACTACACTCTGCTAGTTTTCAAAAACATTCTTAGATTGGCCAATTGGATTGAGGTAATACCGTTATTTTCTGTTACTTCGTATATTTTAGTTGTGGCCCTGTTGTAGTTGTTCTCAAACCTTTCTCAGCACACACTCACTTTTCCTTTCTCTCTCCAGATTCCCCTTTTACTCCTTAACATTTTCTTCTAATTCCCGCAAGACTAGCTACAACAGTGACAATGGGCCTATCAATAACATTTCTATTGAAAGTTTTCAGATCTTCTCTGTTTTATGTTTTTGCCTCATTTCTTTGGTCATTTCCCCATTTCTCTCCCTCTTTCTCTCTCTCTCTCTCCCTCTCTCTCTCTCTCTCTCCTGTTGAGAACTTTGTCATTGGATCTCCAGGATTGCTCTTTAATTTTTTAAAGATGTATTTCTGTGATGAAATAATGAGATTTTAACTTTGGTCATGTCTACCTATCTTCTTATCATAGTCTTACTATTCCTTAAGAACAGAATCAATCCATTCTCCCTGGGCCCCCTCTCACTTTGGTCTTATTTCTGCATAGTGCCTGACATTTTTTTGTTAAACATAAAGATGTCTAATAAATCATTTGATGAAAATTGCCAAAATTTGGGCCAAAAATATGTTTACGGTTGACTGTCCATGCGAGTGGAACAAGCATTAGCACAGTTAACACGGAGCTGCTTTTGAGATCAAATAGAAGAAGTGGAAAGGCCAGGCTATGAAGAATCCTTTGATAAGAGGTGGTTATGGGAGGCCAGTGGAGCAGCAATGAGATTACCAGGCAGGCAAATTCAACCCCTCGGTGTGATAAACTAAAAACAACTGAGCCACTAAAGAAGAAGTAAACCAAAAGCAAAAAACCTGCTTGCTGGCCAGGAAATGTCACAAGCCTACACACAGCCCAAGAATGATTCCTAAGTGGAAGAGTGGATAGTAAACAATTTCCAACATGTGATGCATAGAATGAGATCGATCAGAGATTACTACTTTATTCTTGGCATGAGTGTTTTCTATGTGTGGCTGTGTCTACCATCCTGAGGATATAGATATAAATGCAAATTTAGATCCAGTTATAGATACCAATGTAGATACAGAAAGATATATTTTACAAACTGCTTTCTCATTCTTTTTCTCTGGTTCTGTAAGCTAAAGAAACCCGACAGGCAGAGTGGACAGTGAGAGAGAGAGACAGAGAGAAAGGTCTTCCTTTTGCCGTTGGTTCACCCTCCAATGGCCGCCGCTGCAGCCGGCGCACCGCGCTGATCCTGGCAGGAGCCAGGAGCCAGGTGCTTTTCCTGGTCTCCCATGGGGTGCAGGGCCCAAGCACCTGGGCCATCCTCCACTGCACTCCCTGGCCATAGCAGAGAGCTGGCCTGGAAGAGGGGCAACCGGGACAGAATCCGGCGCCCCAACCGGGACTAGAACCCGGTGTGCCGGCGCCGCAAGGTGGAGGATTAGCCTATTGAGCCACGGCGCCGGCTCAAACTGCTTTCTCTTTTCAATTTTTTTATCAAAATTTATGGGATGTCCTGTGTGGTATATTATTATAAGCATGTTAGCCATAAAGATCCCCACAGAAAGAACAAAGCCCCAATACTCACAATTGTCATGGAAGTCCTTTTGAAGAAACATTTTCCTTAACTTTAAGGACCTAGTATCCCTTTGTTCAGTTTCCTAAGA